CCAACTTTTCATGGCGGAAGGAGTCAAAGGCCTCGGTCTGCAAGACAGGGCTCTGCTGAACCCCCATGTCTGAGAGCAGCTACTGGTGTACCCTAAAGACTGCTTCCCTCCTCACATTTCCTGGATGTTGAACTCTAATGGCAGCAGGAAACTGAAGGAAGAGCCTCTTGCCCTTGAATTGGACAAGGGGTAAGGTTCAAACACCCCCAGCTGCTGTCGTCACTCCCGCGTGCTCAGAACCGAGCCGTGCCCAGACGGGCTTCCGTGGGGAAATGTCAGGAGTACATCAGCAGGCCCTATACTTTCTAGGCACCTCTGGGCTGCTCTAACTTCCAGTCTTTCCGTGAACAGACAAGTATGTTAACGGACTGCATCACCCCGGGACTCCAGGCAAGGGTCAGCTTATAAAATATACCCTCATTCCCCCGCCCCTCCTTCACCAGCACACCTGACTTGCTAAGCCTTTTGCAGGATCTAAGAACTGTGATTCTCACAGGAACTCTGCAGGGACACATGGTTATTTTTCTTGTTTTGTAGATAAAAGCATTAAGGCTCACGGGCCTAGACTTACACTGGCTGAAGTATGCCACTCCACACTTTTAATTTTCATTCCCTATCATACCTGTCTGCAATATGCTAGTGTCACTATGTGTCCTTGGGTTAATGCCATCCCATAGTGACCTTAGAGAACAGAGGACAACTGCCCCACGAGGGTTTCTGGGCTGTGATCTTCATGGCAGCAGACCACCAGGTCTCTTTCCTCTCGAAGCAGCAGGTGGGTTTGACAAGCTGATCGTTCAGTACACAGCTGAGCACTTCACCACTGCACCAGCAGGGATGTTTACTCTGCTATAACATAGATCACAGGGTACCTTATACAGGAACCTTGGTTGCATAGTGGTTACACATTGGGCTGCGATCTGAAAGGTCAGCAGTTTGAAACCACCAGATGCTCCTCCAAAAGAACCGTCTCTGAGACTCGTGGGCAGTTCTGCCCTGCCCCACAGGCTCACTGGGAGTCACCCTGGACTCGATGGCAGTGAGTGGTTGAGTGCCTTATAAATGGTCACCATTAAAAAAAAATCAAACAACTTGCTTTTTAATTGTAACAGAAAATAATCATTTCCTTACTCCTGGCTAGTAGTAGAATATAGCTGGATAAGGCAACACATTTTAAAAATCTCCCCCTATAACTAAAGGGAACCAAATTACTGGTTAGAAATGTGTCTACTGAAATAGAATCATGATCCTCAGACTGTCTGCCTTTTAAAACCAGAAAGCTTGTGAACCCCTAGGACTCTAAGGCAGTATCCCCACAACAGTATCCCTACCCCACAACCCCTTGGTGCAAAAACTTACCAAGTGTAATAAAGTGTGGAGGACACTGAAGTCACCAGTCAGGCCCAGATTCTCTTTGACCCTCAAGATGACCTTGGCCGCTACAGCAGCCTGATACAGGCAATGGTACTCCTTGATCTGCTCAACACGCTCCTGTACCCAATTCCTGTGATTGTGCTGATTCACATTGCACATGACCTTGAATTCTGAAGTAAGGTCGTCGTATTTATTGATGAAGTCTGTGAAGATGGTATTGATTTCGTCAAAAGTCACATTTTCTGACATAAGATCCTGATACAATCTAGTGAACCTTTTGTAACATGGAAGATACAAATCATTATGCATATCTGTAAGGTGTAATATTTGCTTTTCTGAATTCTCTTTATGCTCCTTCAGCGATTTGGCTGCTTCTTCCCAGAACCTCTTGAAGATGTGGCTGGCCTTCACAATGTCTATGTTTTTTGCCATTTCCCGTATCTCGCGGCTCAAGTTGTAGTGTGTAGTGAGATTATACCACGGCTCCATTTCTGATTTGGTGATTGGTCTAACCGCCACAACATCCCTTAATCTCTTATTGCTGAGGTCTTCAAGATGTTTGCTTGCAATCTCTCCAAAGTCCACTTTTGGAATCATAAGGGAAAAACGTCAAATCAAACTTTGAATAATATTATTATCTTATTTTTCTTTCCCAGTATTTCTTCTCTAAGAAAACTGACATAAATATAATTGCTTATCCCCCTCTTTCCCCCTCCCCCGCCTTTTTCTGTCTCAATAGGAAAGCAGGCATCTTCTCCTTGTCCCTTGGGCTTCTTTATCAAGTTTTATAATAAAGAAAATTTTGTAATTTCTGGAGAAAGAGGACAGTTTGCAAACAGTTTGGATTTACTCTCAATCCCTCACTAAAGCCAACTACAGACGGAATGGTTGTCCCAAATTAGTAGCCTGTAAGAACAGGTGGACAGACCAACTAATATCACTGAATTTTCTACATACAGAGAAACTGGTTATACTGCACCATGGATTGAATGTGTCCCCCCCAAAAGATGTATGAATGAGGCCAGGCAATGCTTCGCTCTTTGGCAGTTGTAATGATGGAACAGGGCAGTTATGTATGAGGTGCTCTGGTGCGATAAGCCAGTCAGTTGTAGGAAGAAGGGTAGGATACAAAACCCTAAATCCCGTCACAGCACGTATCTTCTGTAACGGGAGTTTCCCTGGGGTATGGTCTGCAACCCGTGTCACAGCTGAGATACATGTTTTCAGACAGTGGCATAGTGGGTTATGCACCAAGTCAGTAGTTTGGCACCTCAGGAAAAAGATGAGGTTCGTACTTCGTTAAGGGGCCACAGTCTCAGGGCCGTTCTGCCCCAGTGCTAGCCTCACCTGCGGGGTGCTCTGCATCAGAATTGACTCAGTGGCAGTGAATTCTCTTAAAATAATCAAGACTTTCCAGACAGATGAGGAAAGTTTGTCACATGAAAAGGAGCATTCAAAACAAATCAACAAATGAAAGGAACTTTGAGGAAATAAGAGATTATTCACAGAAAAGAAAACCTCTCAACTAAAAAAGACATTAATAATCTCAGAACCACAAACGATATGAAGATAGAATTTTAAAATTATCATTAAAAAAAGGACTCCTACAAATTAAGTGTCTATGAGAATTTAAAATGAAAAATTCAACAGACAGTTGAGTAAAAAACAACAAAAAAGAAAATACAAGTGAAGAATTGATGAAAATGAAGTATCTAACCATTCCTGGAAGTCCAATATCTAGTTACTACTATAGCAAGAAAAGAGGAGAGAGAAAGTCGTCAGAATGTAAGTGAGGTAATTCAGGAGAACTCAGGATTTAAGGGCTGGGTTTCCAAGTTAGAAAGACCCACCTATGCAGCACAATGGACAGAACACAGCCCTACGACGTGACAGATCAGTATGAAGTGCCAGAGTGCTAGACACTGAAAAAAGAGTCCTGGTGGCAAAGTGGTTATGCATTGGGCTGCTAACCACAAGGGCAGCAGTTCAAAACCACCTGTGGGTTTTATCTGTGGGAGAAAACAAATGAAGCTCTTTGTTTCCAGGAAGAACTGTAGTCTTGGAAATGCACAGGGGCTGTTCTGCCTTGTCCTAAAGGGCTTCTCTGAGTCGGCATCGACTGGACAGCAGTGAGTCGAGTATACTTTTTAGGGACAAAAAAAAAAAAATCTCAAGAGCATCTAAAGAGAAACCAAATGCACATGGAATTGATCAGTAATTAGAATTACACCTGGCTTCTTATCAATAAATTTGTAAAATCTATAGCAGTCAAGGGGCAATAGATTCAAAATTTGAACAATGATTTCTTTTTTTTTTTAAATCATTTTATTAGGGGCTAATATGACTTTTATCACAATCCATACACACATCAATTGTGCAAAGCACATTTGTACATTCATTGCCCTCATCGTTCTCAAAACATTTGCTCTCCGAACAGTGATTTCCAATATGTAATTTTGTTGACACTAAGTATCATTTTACACTTAACCCAATCTAATGTGAGTACATATTTTTAAATATGTAAAAAATCAGCCTACTCCTTCACCGTTTTCTCAGAAAATTAATATAACATATGTTCTACAACTCCACAGGAGAAAGAAGAAGTCAAGGGAGACAAAAACAAACTCACTGCCATCAAGTCGATTCCATTTCATAGGCCCAGAGGGCCGGTACCAGTTGCCCTTGTGGTTTTCTGAGACTGTAACTTTGTGGTGGTAGAAAGGCTCTCTTAAAGAGGAGCCTTTCTGGTGACCTTGGGGTTAGCAGCCCAATGTATAACCCCTCTGCCATCGGGGCTCCTTCAGGAAATACAAAAGGCCTTCAAAAAGTTCATAGATGATGATGGGAAAATAGATATATGTGCAAATATTTATAGGTTTAGTATTAAGGTAGCAGATGGACAATTGGGCCTCCATCCAGTACTCCCTCAATGCAAGAACACTTTGTTCTATTAAATTGGCATTCCATGATGCTCACCTTCCCAACACGATTGCTGAAGACAAAGCAGGTGCATAAGCAAATGTGATGAAGAAAGCTGATGGTGCCCGGCTATCAAAAGATAAGCATCTGGGGCCTTAAAGGCTTGAAGATAAACAAGCGGCCATCTAGCTCAGAAGCAACAAAGCCCACATGGAAGAAGCACAGTGGCCTGTAGGATCATGAGGTGTCGATGGGATCAGGTATCAGGCATCAAAGAACAAAAAATCATATCATTGTAAATGAAGGGGAGTGCGAAGTGTGGACCCAAAGTCCATCTGTAGGCAACTGGACATCCCCTTACAGAAGGGTCGTGGGGAGGAGTGTAGCAATGATGAAACATACAATTTTCCTCTAGTTCTTAAATGCTTCCTCCCCCACCATCATGATCCCAATTCTACCTTCTAAATCCAGCTAGACCAGAGGATATACACTGGTACAGACCAGAGCTGGAAACACAGGGAATCCAGAATAGATGAACCCCTCAGGAGCAGTGGCGAGAGTGGCGATAGAAAGGGGGAACAGATTATAAGGATCTACATATAACCCCCTCCCTGGGGGACGGACAACAATAGAGTGAAAGGGAGATGTCGGACAGTAGAGGACATGACAAAATAATAGTAATTTATAAATTATCAAGGGTTCATGAGGGAGTGGGTGTGGGGAGGGAGGGGAAAAATGAGCTGATACCAAGGCCTCAAGTAGAAAGCAAATATTTTGAGAATGATGATGGCAACAAATGTACAAACGTGCTTGACACAATGGATGTATGTATGGATTGTGATAAGAGTTGTATGTGCCAATGAAATTATTTTTTTTAAGTTCATAGATAATGCATATTATGAAAAGACTGTGTATTTTCAAATCATTTTGGCACTAGAATATACCCGTACTAACTTAATGTTATCAAAAGATGTGTTGCATTGGTAAATCTGCTGCACAATATCTCTTTAGCGTTTTGAAAAGCAAGGATGTTACTTTGAGGACTAAGGTAGGCCCAACCCAAATCATGGTATCTTTAATTGCCTCATATGCATGTGAAAGTTGGACATTGAATATGGAAGACCAAAGAATTGATGGGTTTGAATTATGGCGCTTGTGAAGAATACTGAAAGTAACATGGACCCAAACCAAAAATGTTATCAATGTGAATGAGGGGGAGTGCACAGTGGAGACCCAAAGTGCATCTTAGACAATTGGATATCCCCTTACAGAAGGGTCACAAGGAAGAGATGAGCCAGTCAGGGTGCAGTATAGCACGGACCAAACACAACTTTCCTATAGTTCTTCTCCTCCCCCCCCCCACCCCCTATAGTTCTTTAATGTTTCCTCCCCCGCTCACTATCATGACCCAAATTCTACCTTACAAGTAAAGCTATATCAGAGCATGTACACTGGAAACATAGGGAATCCAGGACAGATAAACCCCTCAGGACCAGTAGTGGGAGTGGTAATACCAAGAGGATAGGGGAAATGCGGGCAAGGAGGGAGAGGGAGCGGCTACTGATCACAATGATCTACATACATATAGCCCCCTCCCAGGGCTGCGGACAGCGGAAAAGTGGATGAAGGGAGACATCAGTCAGTGTGGGACATGAAAAAATAATAATTTATGAATTATTAAGGGTTCGTGAAGGAGGGAAAGTTGGGGAGGGAGGGGAAAAATGAGGAGCTGATGCCAGGGGCTCAAGTGAAGGTAGAATGTTTTGAAGGTGCTGTTGGCAACAAATGTATAAATGTACTTGACACAATGGATATATGTATGGATTGTGATAAAAGCTATATGAGCCCCCAAGAAAATGATTTAAAAAAAGAAAATACTATGGACGGCCAAAAGAACAAACTAATGTCTTGGGAGAAGTACGGCCAGAGCGCTCCTTGGAGCAAAGATGGTGAGACTTTGTCTGACATACTTTGAACATGTTGTCAGGAGAGACCAGCGCCTCATCTTCAATCATGAAGCTGGTGCGAGATCAAGCAGTGCTGCTCTGCTGTGCGTAGGGATGCTAGCGGTGGGAACCAGCTCAATAGCAGCCAGCAATGGCCACCACTCGCTATGCCTGCACAAGACCGAGGGCGGGGCACGAGGACGGGAACGACATCAACTTGGAAAGAGCCCCTATCAAAACTACATGAATCTAGGTAAATTTGAAGAAAGAACCAATCTTGATGTATTATTAAGTTTATAGAGACAATGTCCTAAGATACCTTTGGCTTACAAAGAACTCATTGTTAGAAGGGACGAGATGAAGGCGAAGCCTGGAGCAGACCATCCACACCATTTTTAAGTGAACAATTAATTTTGCTTGATCGAGGATTAATGCCAGAATCAATTGCCAACACCGTAGACACCTTAATTTATTGAGCTTAAGAAATTCTGACTAAAAATTAAAGTTGATCAAACTTTCCATTCAATGGGGTAAAAAGCCTGCTGTTCCCCCTAATCAGTTGTAGGCAAGAGCTGAGCTTTCAATGGAAGTTTTAAATAATTCAGATCAGGATCTGAAATTTTTCTTTGAAAAATTATAACAGGAGATGAAATATGGCTCTGCCATTATGATCCTGAAGACAAGGTGCAGTCAATGAAATGGCTACCAAGAGGTCCAGGCCAAGCCAAAGTGGACCAGCCCAGGGCCAAGGTCATCGCAAGAGGTTTTGGGGATGCTCAAAGCATTTTGCTTGTTGACTTTTTGGGGTTTCAAAGAGCAAGAACATCTGCATATTGTGAAAGTGTTTGGAGAAGGTTAGCCCAAGAGGTATCAGAAACTCCTCTGGAAAAGCTTCACCAGAGAGTCTCTCCACCGTGACAGTGTTTCTGCCCATTCCCCTCATGGAACAAGTACAGTATGCAAGAGTTTTGACGGGAAATTAGGCATCCACCGCACAGTTCTAATTTGGCTCCTTCTGACTTCTTTTTATTTCCTAATCGTAAAAAAAAAAAAATCTGTAAAGGGCCCCCATTTGTCTTCAGTCCACATGACTGCGACAATGTGGTGAGATTCCCACGACCCTCAGTTCTTTAGGGATGGACTTGAGTGGCTAGCGTCTTTGCTTACTAAAGCATCTTGGCTTTGATGGGACCCGTGTCAAGAAATAAATCTTATATTTTAAAATTTCATCTTTTCATTCCATTCTTTTATTAACTCATAGGTCTACCCCTAGAAAGAGACACAGGACTCCCTAGGAGATGGAGGGAGAAGTTAGGCTGGCAGTCCAGTCCAGCTTGAGGCGACACCTTCTGAAAGAGCAAACTGATTGTCTTGAGAGGAAATTCAGGGCTATAAAGAAGGAGTCTATTTGGAAATTGAATAAGAAATAAACACACAGAAAATAGGATATATAGAGAAAGACAAGAATCATCACTTTAGAGAAAACTGTGCAAAAAAACTTAGGTACTCATGGTCTACCCCATGGCTTCATTGTGAGCACCGTATCTTCACACTCATGGTACGGTAAACTAAAATGATGAGCTAACTGGGTGTCAAGAGCAATGGAAATATTATGTGTGCAGGACACAGGTATGAAAAGTTAACCAATCTAAATCATTTTACACAGAGAAAGAAAATGCAATTAAAACTATGTACGTCTGTACGCATGTATGTAGAGAAGCCTCCCCTCCAGAACAAAGCACTGCTGTGGTGACCAGTCAGCAAATCTTCTCTAACCTTTGTGTCTTTGAGGTCCCTCAACCTTTATTTAAGTTCTTCAGAATACTACCTTTTATCAGGTGTTTCACTGCCTCACACAATTGTAAGAGATTATCAACGCATTTCTTCTCTCTATTTAGAAATAGATGTTCATTCCCTCTGTGTTTCAGCACAGTCTTCATATCGTGTTCTTTCTCCTGGGGTGAAAGACTTTTACTCTCTGGGGGAAAAAGAACCAAAGAGGTAACCCCACAGATCAGACCAACACATGCTTCTCCCCAGCACCCCGTCTTCCGGCTCCCTCTGCCCGAGCTCCATCGACGCGGCCGGGGCAACCGGCACAGCCACTCTGCTGACACAGCGCCTCCACACGAGAGCCCCTCAGAGCAAAAAGGATGACGTGCCCTGACTTTGCCCGTTTTTGATCTCTTCCCCACCATGCCCCCGAGAAACTTAAACCTCTGTGACGTTACTGGAGAGCTGAGCTACTCGCTGTACAGCTCGCCTCTTTACTAAAACACACACACGGGCTCGGACACCCCTTGTCCCACTAAGTCCTCAGGAGGCTCAAGTCCCCACCTCTGCGCGACACGTACTTATTTCCCAGATGTCGAGAAATTGAGCCTTGTGCTTCTCAAGCAGCTCCAGTTGTCGCACGAAAATCTGCCCACTTAGGAGGTCACCAACGACTTTTGTGAACACAGAGTCCGCGGTGCCCATCAGCCTCTTGACATCCTCGGTCATGTTTGCTAACGTTTTCTCGTCGGATCCTGATCAGGGGAAGAAGACAATTAAAACTGTGGACTCCCACTTCCTTCCAGCCTCATGTCTTTGAATTTCCATTCGTATCCCCATTTTATTCTGCTCCAATTTTCCTCTAATACAGGGTTGGGATAGGAGAGCAATGTATGTTTCCAGATTTGTTAATCACTTCTGAACCTCAGGCTTTCACCCTTAATCTTTAGATGTTATCTGCATTCATCTCCAGATGGTTTCTTTGATCTTGAATATATTTACCCAAACAATCAGGCCAACCACATATGTCAGGTGTTTAAAAACCCACACCATCTCTTTGTAGCTATACTGAGCACCTTTCTTAAACTACAGCAGTCTCCTTTCAGAGTTCATACCTTTCCACCCACCTCCTTGTTGAAATTTGCCCAGGGATTCCACACAGTACATGGAAATGTGGATGTGAAGCTGCTGACCTGAGATATGAAGGGGACCTTACATTCTGTAGATCTTGCCTATCCTGAAAAACTTATGTTCAGTTTAGAGGGCAGAATGTTAAGATATATAATGATAAATCATCAAAAATATCATTCCTAGAGGATACTAAGAGAGTATAGTTTTGTGAAGGAGCTCAGGTGGCACAGTGGTTACATGCTCAGTCACTAACCCAAAGATTGGTGATTCCAACCCTTCGCCATGCCACGGGGAAAAGCTCTATCAATTTACTTCAATGCAGAAAACTCCATAGGAAGTTTTATCCTGTATTTAGGATTGCTTAGTGTCAGAATTCACTTGATAGCAATAGGCATAGTACTTAGAGAAGACTAAGTTTATATGTACTATTAAAAATAAATACAGCTGATGAGCCAGTCAGGGTGCGATGTAACAATGATGAGAAATACAACTTTCCTCTAGTTCCTAAAGGTTTCCCCCCCGCTCCCACTACCATGACTCGAATTCGACCTTGCAAGACTGGCTAGACCAGAGGAGGTACACTGGTACAGATAGGAACTGAAAATACAGGGAATCCAGGACGATGAGCCCTATAGGACCCGTGGTGTGAGTGGCAAAACAGGGAGGGTAAAGGGAGAATGGGTAGGAAAGAGGGAACCGATTACATGGAACTGTGTGTGACCTCCTCCCTGGGGGACAGACAACCGAAAAGTGGATGAAGGGAGACGTCGGACAGGGCAAGATATGACAAAATAACCATTTATAAACTATCAAGGGCGCATGTGGGAGGGGGGAGCGGGGAGGGAGGGGAAAAATGAGGACCTAATGTCGGGGGGTTTAAATGGAGAGAAAATGTTTTGAGAAACTATGTACAAATGCGCTTTACACAATTGATGTGTGTATGGATTGGGATAACAGTTGTATGAGCCCCTAATAAAATGTTTTTTTAAAAAAATAAAAATAAATAAATACAGCTTTATTCATAATTGTCCAAATTTGGATGAAACCATGCTTTCTTTCAACAGGTGAATGGATGACGAAAAGGATACATCCATACAATAGATTATTATTCATCAATAAAATGAGCTATCAAGTCACAAAAAGGCATGAAGGAATTAGAAATGTACACTGCTAAATAAAAAAGTCAGTCTGAGAAAGTAACATACTATGACCCCACCCATATAACATTTTTGAAAAGGCAAAACCATAGCAAACACGAAAAGATTAGTGGTTGCTGGGGGTCAAGGGGCGGATGGAGGGATGACTACACGAGGCCCAGGGTGCTGTTAGTGCAGTGAAGCCCTTCTGCGTGAAGGTGACGTGTTGGACATATGACATTAGGCATCTGTGAAAACCCATTTATCATTTGTTGCTGACAAACAGAATCTGACAGATGGCAGCCACCCCTTTCCAACCAATGGACTGTACCACATGAAAAGTGAACCCCAAAGAAATTATGGACTCCATTTGATAATCATGTATCAATACTGGTTCATCAGTTGCAAGCAGTGTGTGCCACACAAATGGCAGATGTCAACAGTGGAAAACTCTGTTCTTGGAAGGTAAAGAGATAGATAATATGGTAACTCTACTGTCAGTACAACTTTTCTGTAAATCTAAAACTGCTGGATGAAATAGTGTGTATTTTAAAAAACCCGCAAACACTGTATTTTCAACTGAGAAGCTTTTAAAAACTGATGTTGCCATAATACTACATCGGTAGTCTTATTTTATTCTACAACCACCTTGACTTGTAGGGAAATTAGATGCTTTGGTATGTCCTGGTTATTTGACAAAACCAAAACTCAGGATCTCTAACATAGGATCTCTAGTCCCACATCCCCAGTTTCTCACTAAATATGAGTAAAACTACTTGCATGTAAGGCTTTAAGGTGACATTTTAGAGCAACATATACTTCCTGTCTTTGATTGCACACATTTGTGGTATAGAGGGAAAGCGAGAGGATTAGCATTCAGTTTTATGATAGGTCAAGGATAATGAGTTGAACGTTTTACTTTGATCTCAGAATAAGATAGATTAGGTTTTAGGACCAGACACATTTCAATGGACTTTCAGCTCTTCATACTTAAGATGGCTGAGACCCCGGGGAAGCCCCATTAGACCCCAAGGCTCCCCTTCCTCACGTGAAGGCCGAGGGTTTTAAGAAGGGCTTGCAGGACTCTGAGTACATTGTGTTGGATCTCACCCGGCAGTACCATGTAAGAAAGACTCTTGACAGTCTGCTTTCTTGAGCATCATAGCCGGGAAATCCCTAGGAGTCATTCTTCTCTGCGCCGCAAGGGGTTGCCATGACGTGTCGATTGCCGCTGACAACACATGCCGGCACAGAAGCTGGTGCCACGTAGGTATTCAGTGAATGGTGGTTTTTAGGATCTGTTCAGTGGTTCATGAGGGAGAGGGAGTGTGGTATTAGGGGGTGTGTGTGTGGGGGGGGGCGAGTCCCCCATCGCTAGTCTTGGGTTCAGCTTTGATAAGAGTCCCAGAGTGTCCCTTAGACAGCATCAGCAGTGGAAGAAATAGCTCAGCAGTCGGCAATCGCCATTATCAGGAATCTGCGAGGTCTTCTGGATGTTTTGGATAACTTCGGTAACAGGACAGGGTCAGTTATCGCATCAGCTTCCCTCCTGTCTTCTGGGCCTTGCTGGCTGAAGAGAAATCTATCTATCTCCTTTGCCTCAGCCCCGCTTGGTGGTCCATGTGGAGAGAGGGGGAAGGGAAGGAGGACAAGGGGAATGGGAAACAGGGGAGGAGAGGGAGCCGAGGAGAGGCCAAGGGAGGAAGACAGAGAGAGAGGGAGGGCGAGCAGGATCTGTTCTTATTTGCCCAACAGGGCAACCTTAGCCTTCTTGGATCCCTCAGCCAATCCGCTGCTTCAAACACCAGCTCATCCCCCTTTTGAGTTACTCTCTTCCTCCTCCTCCCGAAGCCAGGAGATGCCCACTTCTCAGCTCAGAGGGTCCTAGCCCAACCCCACATACCTAATACTTTGAAGATTGGCTTGATATCCGGCCCTGTGAGCAGGTGCTTTAAAACCTCATCCATGCCATCCACAGCTCTCCCATCATGCATTGGCCAGGACTTGGCAATCACGGCAGACACGATTTTGCCAAGCTCCAGAAATTGGTCATCAGAGAATCCATCAAGGATGCTGGTCTGAGACTACAGGATAGCCAAGAGAGGGAAAGTTGGAGGGAATGTGTTTTTATCTTACTGGTTTGTTTTCAAATAGCAAAAGCCAATGACCCACCCAGGGCTCTTTCGGGGATCTACTGTCATATGTGGCACGAGGCCTTAAAGAAGCAAGTTAGTTAGATACTTCATTGCCGCCTTGAAATGGATAGAACCACTTCCACATAACAAATCTTCCTTTCAAAGGTGTCACATCTTTGGAGGCTTTCAGTGCACACCTACTAGACAAAGGGTAGCAGATGACCTCAGGAAGAAAGGTCTTTTAGGAGCTGCCTGCAAGTGTGATTGAATGGATTTGAAGTTACCTGGAAGTGGCTGTGGTTTTACATAGCCCATAACAGCATCTGTAGTTAGCTCTCATCAAGTTGGGCCCCAACTCAGGCACCCCATTTGGCCTCATGAACAATGGAATAGAATGCTGCCGCCCAGTCCTGTGTCATCTCCATGATCTGTTGTGAAGTAGACCATCGGGACCCATAGGACTTCTCTCTGCTAACTTTAAGAAGTAGATGATCGGCTATTCTTTTGAGTCTCCCTCAGTTGGAAG